TTTTTTTGAACGTTTTCCATCTGAACTGTTATTTTTGCAATATTCAGGGACTCTCGTTTTTGATTTTTTCTCATGATTGCTATAAACATTTTGTATTGATTTGTCTGTAAAATTAATAAAAAACGTTTGAGCTACAACAAACCGAAAATCATTTGCTTTTATATATAGCTGCTTACTTGTGAAGTGCTTTGTTCCTTTTGTTAATAAAAATTTGATTTGAAACTGATTGTCGTTTGTCGCAAGAGACAACGTAATTGCCTTCAGATCACACATGGCGGCGTAAAAATTACCGCGATCTTTTTACTAATGATTTTTCTTACGCAAAGGACTTAAACTGAAAATATATTGGATAATTTGTCGATATATGAATCGGGAGCGGATTTAGTGGATTAAGGGGGAGGAGCTGCTTGCGTATTTGATTAGTTAGCGTGAATATGTATCTGGAGCAGGGGCGGTTTTAAGTGGGGGAAAGCCCCCCTCAGGGATTCGACACCCTGTAGATCCAAACGCCCCCTTTGTACTGTTTTGAAATATCAATTTTTGGCTTACTGATCCTAAATTTTCCAAAACAGCCAAAAAACGCCTCTTTTTGGTCTGTTTTTACAAAAATTTATCTTCGGTGGAGAAAAATTGGTCAAAACGGGGTCTTTATAGAGATTTGAGAGCTCAAAAAATCAATTTGGTCGTGTAAACAGAAGTCGACAAAAGTTCCATTTTGTTCAAACCTAGATCCGCGCCTGATCTGGAGTTTCACATTTTATTTAGGGATTTACGAGAGTATTAAAGATTTAGTTTTTTTTCGGAATTTCACAATTATTTTTGACATTGTCATAATGTCGATCTATTTTTTCAGCATCCATCTTTGGCACGTTTTTGTCCAATTTTGACAAAAAAAACTTAGTCGCCAGCGGAAAGTTTTGGGAAAGTTTTTTTTCCAAATCCTACTGCAAAGTTAGTACTCTGGTTTTGGTGCCACTCAGAAATCAGCTAATAATTCAAAGGCATTTTAACTGGACATGTCACTTTGGCTAAACTGCATGAAATCTATTTCCTACTTCCGAAGAAACAATGGAATACTCGAGCCTGCTGCGGTTAATTTTAGAGAAAATTTCGACAATCCAAACAACTGTTTTTGATGCAAATTTTGATGTCATTATAGAAGCTTGATTACAATGAATACAAAAAAACTATATGTTATTGTTCCGACTTTCGATACGAAAGTAACGGAATACTTGTGCTCGGGGTGGGTGTTTTTTTTCTTCAGACAAATTTCGACTTTTTAACTAGCCATTTTTGACGGATTTTTTTATATCATTCAAAAAGTATTGCTGTCCTGAGCTTAAATTTGAAAAGATATTTCACTTGTGATCATTTTTCGTAAAATTATGGGGGTTTAAAGATTGGCATTTTGGCCAATTTGGGACAATGAACGCATAAGCGCAGATTTAATCCGTCTTAGAAATCGTTCCAAATTGGTTGAAGGAAACTTATTTGCCATAATTGTTTTGTTAGTAGAAGCAAAATTTATCACTTTGCACTTTATTTGGAGTTTGGGGGATGGATGATTTTAACAAAAAATCTCAAACTTTTCTTACAAAATTTTTTTCATTTTATTTTATTTTTTCTTACATTTAATTTTTTCATGTTATTACTGCTTCATAGACCTTAAAAGGCAGTCGGAACATTCAGGGCTTCACCCTGATACGAGCAGTCTTGTTTCATTTAGTAACTGGATTTGGAGTCCAATGAATGCAAAAAATGGACCATAAGCTTGAGAGCGTCACCAAGCGTTATACGCTCAAATTATATCTATTTCAAAAAATACAAAAAGTAACTGAAGTTAAATTTTCAGTGTAGAATACGAAGCAGGTCTCAGATAGGCGTTTAAGGACATCACAAGCTATAGTTAATAGTTAAAAGGAAAACAATTTTCCTAAAACTTTTATTTGATCCTATTCTGAACAATTGATGACAAAGCTTTTTTCGATCAATTCTACTGTACTGCATTTTGCAATTAAGTTTTCAATATAGGAAAAAAGATGTTTCCGAGTTTCAATATTTAATTTAAGCAACAATTTCCTATAATAACGTTTTCCTGTTATATAACTGAAACAGTACTGATTTTCCTGTTATATTACAGTGTTTGATCGCGATGCCAAAAAATGAATTTCAACTTTGCTCATATGATATTTTCTTAACATGGTTTGCATCATACGTGATTTTCTCAATTTATGGTAAAAAATTTTTTGAACTTCATTGATTACAGTCGTATGCTACTTTTGAAAACTTACGGAGTCCCACGGGGAACATAATTTTAATATAAGCTGTGCATATCACCCATAATTAACAGCTTAGAAAATCCAGAGCAGAAAAAAGTATATGGTATATGTTACTTAGTTTTTAATCAACTGCCCCAAATTTCATTTGTTTTGTTCAAGTGTTTTGCAGCAAACTTCTCTTTGCAATGTTTTTTCAAAATCAAGACGAAATCGATTGCAAGAAGAAAATTAAGCCAAGATGGCCGGTTGCTGTACACTTAGAGCAATGAGTTCCGACCATCACGCATAATGAAACCACACTTGACCCTTTGAACCTTTTTGAGCTGATAAAACGAGTAACAAAAACTGTTTTGGACTGAGATCCTTCGCGGAGTTGCAGCAACAAAGAAAAAAGCTTGACAAACCTAATTAATTGATTTCGATTTTGTTGCAAAATTTTAACTTTATTTGATTTCTGGAAGGAGTACAGAAAGTTCAAAACACAGTATTCCAATTACCAAACTTCTTAAAAATTAAAAAAAAAACTGAATGTTTTTTGAATTTTTTTTCTCCAAATTTTGTGAAATTTACACCAGTTTGTTCCGCAGCTGGAGTAGCTTTGAAATGTGTTCAACGTGGCCTAGTTTGCTGAAATTGAGATTAAAATCAAAACAGTCAGTTGCAGCGCTCTCAGAAAAATTTCTCTAGTGATGTGTCAGCGAAGAGGTAATTCAAGTCAAAAGAATTTCCAAATATGACTAGCTGGGTTTAAAGGTTGCTGACTGATTTGAATAATGCAGTACTAAGCAAAAGTCTATCACTTTGTACTTTTTGTAGATTTTTTTTCAAATTTCGCTTAATTTTTTTTCATAATTTTTTTTTCATAATATTTTAGCTAACAAATTTAAAAACTGACCAAAACTTCAAGCCTCCGCTCTGATACGAGCAGTCCCATTTTTCTGATTTTTTAATAAAGGGTTGCTTGGGGCGTTTTTTTATTCAGACGAAATGGCACTTTCTGATTAAGTTAATTTTAGTTCCTGCGAATCGCAGAGGAGCTATCAGTAGGCCCTAACAGTCCTGTCGAGGATAGTCCATTTGTATTATCTCCCCACATTCCAGACAGTGTTATTTTGCTGAGCGAAGCTGTTTTTTTTTGGCGACTCAAGGCCGTTTTTTTGCGTCTAGAACTTTTACGTGGTACCACTATTGCAGCCAAATTTGGTCAGGTTGTGGTAGACCTGAAGCTATCATTGCCATGGCATGGGATCGAATACACGATCTGACGATTTCAAAGTGACGATTTCAAATTTTCGACGGAATTGTTTTTTTTTTACTATCTGAAGAAACAATTCGAAGTCTTCTTGTTTTTGGATAAATAAATGATTTTGACTAAGTGTAACTATGCATTAACGTTATTTAAAAACAAAAAAGGAAATTCCAAGGAAATTTTTTCCAGGAATTGCAGCAACAGAAAAACAACTTTTGTAATTTGAAAATATATTTCATTGATTTTGATTTTGTTTCGAGTTTTTTTAAGTTTCAGATGATTTCTAGAAGAAACCCCGAAAGCTCAAACACTGTATTCCAAAAAAAAACTTCTTGAAAATTTTTTTTTGCTAGTTTTCAGTTGTTTGTTTCGCAGCTGGAGTATCTATGAATTTTATTAGGAGTTCACAGTAGCCTAGTTTGCTGAAAATAAGACAAAAAAATGCTATATGGTATTACCACGAGGCACAAAGATACTAGCCAGGAGTAGGAAACTACTTCGTGTATTTTTTTTTTCAAATTATAACAAAAATAACAAATTATTCATAATTTCGAAGAAATTGTTTGAGTGGAAGGTATTTCATAGCGTAAGATCAATAAGAGACAAGCTCGATATCAAAAGGGTAAATGGTAACTGGATCCAGCTCCAGTTAGAAGATGAAGTACCAAAGGGTTATTTAATGTTGAAGTACAGTGCTGATTTAAATTATCCGGACAAAACAAACAAATTTGAAATTTTAAACGAGTTTTCCTCAAATTGGGTTAAAATTAGACAAAAATTGAATAATCCAAAAATTTCTTAGAATTTCACCAGAATTAATTAGTTGTGCTGTGTAAGAGGCTTCTTTTGATATAAGTGCCTCATCAATTAACTTGGTTGTTTTGGAGTAATTCTTGATTGACTAAAAAAAAACAAAATTACATTCTTTTGGGGTAAAATTTTTGTTTAGAATTTCGGAAAAAAATCCACCACGCATTAATTCTGGTAAAATTCTAAGAAAATGTTTAATCTCTTCACATTTTATTTTATCTTAACCTAATGTGCACTGTACAAGTCGCAGTCATAGCTACAATTTGGAACGTTCGTTTTTAAATATATCAGAGGCACTGTACGGGTTTTAACAGCCCATCTTGCAGTAGTCCTTGTAACAAGAACAACAAGAAAAATAACTAATTCCAGTGATCTACTAAACAACCCCCCTTACAGAAATGGGTGGGGGACATGAAAGATTGATAAATAGGTTAATTCAATTAGTTTCGACAAATCAAAAATGAGCTCAAGTCAAATTTTCTTTTAAAAATTCCGGTGACTTTTTACAGTCTTTAGTTAGAGGGTAAGAGTCTTTAGTCGATACCAGCGAGGAAGGAGGGAGGGGATTGTTAAGTGAGTTCAATTCCGGGGGTTGTTGATACCATAGGCGGGGGGGGGGGGGGTGAAGTTGTTAAGAGGATTAAATTGCTGTGATGACTCACCAATGAGACATCCGACCTCGCTGAGTCCGATTGAGACCCCGATGAGACTGCTGTCGTCTGTCTCCCAGGGCAGAGTGACCATCCACCCCTGCAGGATGGTGAGAGCGATCAGAGTCAACACACAGATGAAGCCAGTGTGTCTGGTGAAGTTGTTCGTCTGGTTCTGAACCGATCTGACCAGAGTTTCCAGATAGAGTGCCATATTTCTGCCAGTAAGTGAGAGGTGAAAGTCAGAAATTCAGTGAAAATGATTTAAAAGTTTAGGAATAAATTAGTTATAATTTCACGTTTGAATAGAAATTAAGAATAAATAGAAGTTTCAACTTGCAACTTGGACCTAAATATAAGGAATAAGTCAGCGATTCAAAAAAATATTAATAATTTTTTTGGCATAAATCAGTTATAGTTGCAGATATTTTATAGGAAACAAAATTATTTGCTATTTTGGAAGTAAATAATGATTAAAATTCAAACCAGCTCATAAGAAAATGAACGTTAAAGATTTTGTTTTGCCATAGTAAAAAAACTGTTGCTCAGCAATCAACAGTCACAAAATGTTCGAGACGGATATTGTTAATAATGGTAGAACGATAATGCAGATCAAATTATACCAAAAACACCGAACATTAAATGAGTCACTTAATAAAAAAGTGTTTTTCTTCCTGTTTTTAAAGTAGACTTTTACCTGCGAAAAAACACTTGATAATTGAATTAGAGCAAAAAACAAAAACTGATTTTTTACTTTGTAGTCCCATTAAATGTCGACCAGAATCTATTTATACACCCAATCGAGACTGAAATTGTGGGTTGTTCAACTCTGCGTTAAAATTTAATTAAATTATAAGTTATTTACGGGAAGATTATAATTAGACCGTTTGGAGGTAGAGGAAAAACGAATTTAAGAAGGGATTAAGCCGCACCGGTAAAAATTAGATGCTCAAATTGGTATGTTACTTCTGCTTCGTCCAGTGAATTTATCCGGCTTTTTCTGGCTTTTCAAATATCTTTTTAAATGACGGCTAGCTCAGTCAAAATGGAGCTAAAATGTAAGTCGAAAAATCAGAGGCCTGCTGTTTCTTTTAAAACTAATCTCGTGAAATATAAAATGGAGATTTCTCTCTCTTTTTCTCTTATTGTCGCATTTTTGGCCTTTTTGATAGGGCTTCAGAGAAAATCAATCAGCACGCAGCAATCACCGGTTATATCCAATTGTAATGAGGAGGTAGAAACACAAGTTATAACTGCTTTCCTAACTAGCACTAACTAGCACTAACCAGAAAAGCCCCAGAATTTAAAAGGGTAAACGTGCATTCGTCATCATTATCACTGGTGAAAAGATTTTTAAAGCTTAGGGCTGATTGCCATTATAGAAAAAACATTCAAGCGGCTAAACCGGTTGTTAAAGAGAAATAAGGCAGGAAAAGCAAGATACAGTTAGAACACTGGGGGGGGGGGGGGGGTTGAAAGAGAAATTGATGCAGGGTTCTAAGGTTCTTTTCTGGTTGGGGTAGAAATTGATGGGTAAAGGATTGGGTGTTCTGCTATTCTGTTCGACTAAGGGAGGGAATTATAGAAGAGTCAAGATATAAGATGTCAGAATTAGGAGTGGAAAATCATCATACTGAAAAAAAAGTAAGATATAAAATGGCATTGTACTAAAGGACGCGTTTCTCCAAGGCAAAAAACAGAAAAGCAGCGTTTTTTATAATTTGATCTTTTCTTTCTGGTGTTTTCATTTTTTTGCTAATTTATCTTTTCTGGTTTACCCTTTTTGAGACGAGACGGGTTCAACGTAAAATTCACTCATTCAAGCTCCTATTTTTTCAAGCGTGATCTGAAATAAAAAGCACTGGTAATTTTATCTGCTGTGTGACTTATGATGATTTGGTATTTCAAAAGCCCTAACAATACTTTGAATGCAACTTAATTAGAAAAAAAACAACGTACCCAACCTATACAACTTCTTTCCATAAATGCTACATATATTACGCCGAATTCATTTTAAAGTTCTTCCCTTAATGAAGGGTTGTGATTTTATAAGTTATCCTTGTCCAACGATCAGCGAGTATCGTTTAGAAAGAAGTATCGAATTTTCTAAAATAATGATTTTATTCAAGATTTCGTTTTGCCAATAATTCTTAGGCTTTACTTTTTAGTATTAAATAGAAATACTCAAATAACTCAGAATATAGAATGATATAAGGGTCGTTTGATTTTAATTTGATTTTTTTTTGTGATTTGAAAGGAAGGAACTAAGACGCAGTTTGTGGTTTTTCTCTCGACGGAAAACTTATTGGGGAGCCGAACTAATTTTACAATAAAGAATTTTAAGTCATAAATTCAAAAGTTTTTTTAATACCTGTTTTAAATGGCATTTTCTTGAAAAAAAAATTAGCAAAAAACTTAGAATTTAATTTGATTTTTGTTCAATTTTCTGATATTTCCCCCTAATTTTTGAGGCTTCATAATAAAATCATGGTGGCTAGAACCTTCTTTACGACTTGTTCAGCAACCGGCAATACTTGTTTGAATTAATTGAGGCTACAATTTTTAATAATTATTGTGGAATGCAGTGAAGTCATTTTCAAAATAGCCCGTTTTTCTGGTTGTTGTAAAAAAGTTTACAATTAATTTAAAATAATTTCAAATTTTATACAAAATTTCGCTTAAGAGTGAAAGGTTGAACCAAAAAAAATTAAAGTATACACAATGTCAGATGTTTTTTACATGCCAAAAGAACATTCAGCTCACCATAGAAAAAAATTCATTATTTTTTTTTACTTGTGATAGACTTAAATTTTTTCATTTCTTTGAAATCACGTTCACATTGAAAAAATGAAATGCGACCATTTTCAACCAAAGTAAGTTTTCTACAAGATCTTGTTACATAAATTTTGTGATAACAAAAATTTTGCCGGAAGAAAATAACTTAATCCTTCTTCTATATATTTGCATTTTCTCCAAAAATGAAAAATTTATAAGCCATAAAAAATTTGCTCAGACCACTCTCAAAAATTACACGAAACCAGGCTACAACGTGAGCAGTAGCTCCTATCAGCTCTTTTAGATTGATTCAAAATTATCAATATTTGACAAAGCTGAAATTGATAAACTAAAATTTTGTTCTAATGTTCGTTTACAATTGGTTGTGATTTAAAAAGTTTCTATTTTGCGCAAAGCATCTGGCGGTTTTCAACAGAAAACCAGTTACAACAAAAAGTTTGGCAATGAACAACAATCAAACGGCTCGAAGTCCATTTAAGCAAAAAACGCATATAAATGCAAAAAGCGTATGCTCTTTCAACAACTAGCACAAATCATGTTTTTTGAAATCAAAAACGTTTTATTTGTTATATTTCAACCGAACAGAAAAAAAAATAAACAGTTACACAGGTGTTCTTCCTAGTTTCTTTAAAGTCAAACACTGAATTTTTTCTGTTTTCTGGCATATTTAGAAGCTTTTTTTTTCGCAAAATTTGTCATATTTTGCTTAAACAACAATCAAGGAAAAAGCAGACTTGTCTGATCTTGATAGTAAACCTGATTGTGCATTAAGTGAGAAAAAAAATAAAACAAAAAACTAGTGGAACAAATAAAAAGGACGTTATATGGCGGGCTAGGGAAAAATTGAACGCAATTAAGCATGAAAATTAGACATTAGCAGTAAACAGTTTGCTTACGGACTACCAAGCTTGAATTTTCTTTTTTTTTCTCTCAATAAGTTTCACTGCCTAGATTGGACCCATCTGCTTGTCATTCAGCAAAGTTAAAAAAACTTCTTGCTGTTTTTCTAAATTTCAAAAAAAAAATTTCAACTCAAATTTTAGCTCAATAATGCTTTAATAAGATGTTTACTTTGATTTTAGAAAAACATAAGTTTCAATTTAAGTACGTCGAATTGCACCAGTCTATGATTGGTTTTGTTAACCATTTTTTGAATTTTTTGATTTTGATTACAAATTGGTCACAAATTTTTTTTGGCAGCAACACGGTCTTGTAACACAATTTTTCTTCTTTAAAGCAATCTTCACTTTTTTAGATCAGGTTTTCAGACTTGAACTATTCATTGATATAGTTAACCATAACTAAAAATAAAACGAAAATGAAAGATTAGATTTGGTCTCGGTGGTAAATCGTCCTCCAAGTTTTCAAAATCATTTTTTCTGCCTTGATTAAGTTTTTGTATGAATAGCTAAAACAAACTATAAAACTACTTAGTTGAATCAAAAGTAAGAGCACAAACAATTAAATGTCTTGCCAGACGAGCCTTTGACCCGACGATAAATGAATTTCTTTGAGGTAGTCAAAATCGTCGGAAAATGTTTGAATTGTGATCGGAATTGTGATAAATGAATAGTTGCACATGATTGTTTAACAAAGTATTTTGTTACAAGTTGCTATAGGTCTAAACTTTTTTGAATGGTTTTCTAATATTTTATCGGAAATGATGTTTGGTTGAAAATTTACATGATGACGACATTCTTCAAACCTAAGTTTCCTATAATCTAGTTTGCATGACATCGAGTTATTTCAGCTTTTCTTCCATGCAAGCGACCTTTTTCTTTCACGACCTTTTTAGGAAATCGCCGAGTCATTGTCAATTGTCTTAAGCGTTTGCATTTTGCTTTAATTTTGCGGTAGTATGGAAACAACAGGAAAAAATTGTCGTTGAACCCTGGGAAAACAAAAATTGATCCAAAAAAGACTGTTTTCATAAACTCAAATCAGCAATTTTTTGGCAATCATCTTTTTAAATACAAAACTAACCTAGTGTGCAAAATTACAAATTTTTTGAAAAAACTTCTTTTGAAAAAAAAAGAAAAGAATTCTTTTTTTGTTTTTTTTTCTTCATTTTTGAAAGCATCTGTAGTCGACTTTGAAATATACATACTTTTTTAAACAGCAACCGGCTACTTTTATTGGTTATTGTATTTTTTGGTTATTGTAATTCTTATTGCATGACAGTGTTTAGCTTGAAAACCACGGCATTTAGCTTGAAAACTACGTGCAGTAACGATATCAGACTTAGTATGATGACAACTAACGAGGATGACAACTAAGTAGAATGACAGTTGACTTTGTTCGACGGCAAATAAAGGGGCATTCTACGACAACTTATTCCTAATATTTATAAGATATAAGCATTCTACGACAACTTTCCTTTATTTATAAGATGTAAATTGTGTATATGATCGTTTGACTGGGTTTTTTCTTCAAGTTATCACGAAAAATATAAACCTGTACTGGCAACAGTTTTTTAATTTTTTTATTGCAGATACAAGATAGCATCGTTCGGGTCTTTCCTGTTACATGCCGCCACTCCCTAGCAAAACGCAGCCCACCAAAATAATAAAACCATTGTGTGGGCCTTTTTTTGTTTCTTATACATACATACATACATACATACATACATACATACATGCATACTTATATACATACATTCATACATATATACATACATACATACATACATACATACATACATACATACATACATACATACATACATACATACATACATACATACATACATACATACATACATACATACATACATACATACATACATACATACATACATACATACATACATACATACATACATACATACATACATACATACATACATACATACATACATACATACATACATACATACATACATACATACATACATACATACATACATACATACATACATACATACATACATACATACATACATACATACATACATACATACATACATACATACATACATACATACATACATACATACATGCATACATACATACATACATACATACATACATACATACATACAAACATACATACTTACATACATACATACATACATACATGCATACATACATACATACATACATACATACATACATACATACATACATACATGCATTCATACATACATACATACATACATACATACATACATACATACATACATACATACATACATATAAACACACATACAAACATACATACATACATACATACGTACATAGATACATACAAACATATATACATACATACATACATACATACAAAATTTTATATGTTGAATGATGAATTGAAGTTTTGATAAGTTGACTAACATATCCAATGGCTAAAATTTTAGTTTGTCACGATAATCTCCGTTTTATCTTAACTTCCTTTATTTTTGTTTAGTTAAAGTCAATCTTAAATTTTTCAGCGAAGAAATTTGTATTTAAGTTCAGTTAATTTAACTTAAGTCAGTTAGGGTAAAGTTTACCTTAACAATTTCTTATGGTAAATTAAACTAATGATAAGATAAATTTCACTTTAATTTCAGTTTGCATTCAATCATTTAAGGTAATTTTACCTTATTTTGTAAGTGTGGCTTGGAGGAAAATAGTTAAAAAATCCCTTTGTTCTTTTGGTTCTACTTTG